CTTTTCAAATTATTTTTAATTCATTGTCTAATATTTTATTGGGAATTTTTCTGCCTAAGTTCCTGGAGAATATTTTTTTTTTATTTGTTTGTTTGTTTTGCTTTTTTGAGATGGGATCTTACTCTGTAACTTAGGCTGGCATTGAATCACTATGTAGCTCAGCCTGGCCTTGAACTCCTGGCAATCCTCCTGTCTCACCATCCCAAGTGCTGGGATCACAGGTGTGCCACCAGCGCAGCTGGCTAGGTCTTTGATTTTAGGTGGTCTAATTTATTGAGTTCATTATATATCCTACATATTAGTCCTTTTTCTGAGAAGTAGCTGGAAAAAAAATTTTCCCATTCTGTAGGTTGTCTCTTCACTCAATTAATTCTTTTACTGTACAGAAGCTTTTCAGTGTAATGTCCCATGTGTTAAGATCCTTGTGTGTCCTGGATATTAACCCTCTATTGGAAGACTGGCTGGCAAAGATTTCTCTCCCACGCAGTAGGCTGCCTCTTCTCTCTGTTGTTTCCTTTGCTGTGCAGAAGTGTTTAAAGTTGATGCTAACCCATTAACTGATTCTTGCCATTGTTTCAAGAAAGCAACGTGACATTGAATGTCATTGGTATTCTGATGGGGATTGAATTTGTAGATTGCTTTTGTTAATATGGCATTTTTAATAATATTGATTCTGCTAACCCATGAACATGGGATATCTTCCCATCTTCTACTGTGTTCTTCAATTTTTCTTCAATGCTCTCTAATTAATTTTCCTAGCAGAAATCACTCACTTCATTGGTTAGGCACATGCATAATTTTTCCTGCAAAGATATTGTGAATAGAATTGATTTCCTGATTTATCAAGTCCATTATCGGTATATAGAAAAGCTATTGATTTTCATGTGTTTATTTTGCATATTGCCACTTCACTGAATTATCAGATCTAAGATCTTTTGGTGGAAAAGCTCAACAAAATAGAATCTTTTAAGTACAGGATCACATCATCTGAAAATAATGATAATTTGCCTTTTTCCTTGCACTCTTGAAATCGATGGTATATGATTTGTTTGATGTGTGGTTAAATTTGGTTTGCAGGTATTTTATGAAAAATTTTTGCAGCTAGGCATGGTGGCTGTCACCTGTAATCCTCACACTCACGAGGCTAAAGCAGAATTAAAAAGTGGAGGCCAGCTTGGGCTACATTGTGAGTTCAAGCCCAGCCTGAACTACATAGTGAGACCCTGTCTCAAAAAATTATTTTTGTGTCTATGTCCATCAAGGATATTGGTGTAGTTTTATTATGTCCTTATCTAGTGTAGGTATAAGATGATATTGGTCATGTAGCATGAGATAGTATCTCTATCTTAGTTGGAAACATTCCTTCCCTATTTCGTGAAATAGTTTGAGGACCATTGGTGTTAGTTCTTTAAAGGTCTGGTAAAGTACAGCAGTGAATACCTCTGTTCCTGGACTTTTCTTTGTTGGGAGATGTTTTATTACTGCTTCAATCTCATTCTTGATATTGATTTATGTTTTTATATCTTCCTGGCTCATTTTTAAGATCATATGCATCTAGAATATTTCTATTTTTTTTCCTAAATTCTCCAATTTATTGAAATATAGGTTTTCAACAGAGTCCCCAGTGATCTTCTGGATTGCAGTGCCATCTGCAGTAACATCCCCCTTTTAACCTCTAATTTCATTGAGTTGGGACTTTGTTTTGGTTAGTTTAGCTACAAGTTTCACAGTCTTGTCATTTGGAAAAATAAAATGTTTTATTTACCTTTTATAGTCTTTCAGTCTCTATCTCATTAATTTCAACTGATTTTTATTATTTCTTTCCTTCTGTTGGGTTTGGTTTTGGTTTGTTCTTGTTTTCTAGAACCTTGAGATGTATCAGTAGGTATTAATTTGAGATCGCTCTGATTTTTTGATATAGGAACTCAGCACTGTAAACTTTCCTCTTGGAACTATCTTTGAAGCAAGATGTCAAGGACAATAGAAATTATCTCAGTCTGTTTTTTTATACTTTCACTTGAAATATACCCAAATAGTTGGAAAATAAACCAAGTTAACTCAGAAAACAATATCTAAGCTACTATGTACTTAAAGATGGTTTATTCCAGCATATATAAGATCTTATTTATAACTCTATTAGTATATATTTTGCTTAACCTTTGGGAGAAATAAATCACTGAGTTAATTATCATTAAGATAGACCTTATATTCCATTGTTTCAGTGCTCAGAGGGACAATGTGATCAGTTTTTTGGTCTCCCTAAGTCTAAACATTACTCTGAACTTGCACAGTTTCAAATTTATTAAATTTATTATTTTCATAGTTTGAAATTTATCATTTTGTGGGCTGTCAGAACACTATTAAAATATTAAATCCCATTTTAATGCTGAATAATGATATAAAGCTTTAGAATTCTTTTAACTATCAAGAGAGATCAATTTTAACTATATAGGAAGAAAATTCCAAAGTGTTCCAGAAGTGGATGATTAACTTGTGAAGCATATTGCACTACATGAAAAGTGTTGTCATAAAACATTTTCCAAACCATAAATTTTTTTCCACTTATATTCCTTTTAAATATAACAAATTAGATAATAATCCTTTCTGGGAAAAAGAAATTGTTTGTAAGGATAATAAAATTATAATAAGAAGAAAAATATTAGGTAGACAGAGTAAGAGATAATATTCTTATGATAAAATAATCTGATATTGTGATATCTTATTCCAAGGACAACTGGAATTTTCCTGGGAAGTGTGTCTGTTTATTTATTTTAATACTCTTGATTCATGGCTGAGGTCTATTTTCTCTTACATTTACATAAAATCCACAAGGTTGTATAAATGACATTTCATTTCCAGAGATAACCGACATATATATATTAGATGGATTCTTCATGCTTAAGGTTAAATTTCCTGAAAAGGAGCATAAGGGGGAAGTCTAAAACCCATATTTATTTTTAGGAGTATTTTAATGATTAATTAATTATTTAAGTTTCATGAATTTTATTATATTATACAATGCGTACTTAACAGGAAAATAAAATATCAATAAAATATTGAATTTTTAATATTTATTGAGTGTTTATAGAAAACTAACATTTTCAACAACTTTTTTTGTTTGAAAATTAAAAACACAAATTCCTAAATGAACTAGAATTTTAAAAAACTGTACAACAAAAATAATCTTTATTTCAATTCACCTATCTGTTCACCTGTCTGCTCCAAAATTCTTTCATGGAGTTCCTTGGGCAGATACATATTGTTCTTCCTCTGTTGTAGTTGATCTTTTATCAGTTCCAGTCCCAGTTCTCTTAAGAAACTCTCCATGGTATTTGTTACTCTCTTTGTAAACTATGATACTATTTATGCCTGACATGTTTAGAATGAGAAATGCACAACTATTGACCAGTGCTTTGTTTTGAAAGACATCATAGTTGCTACATAACTCATCCAGAACATCTACTCTCCTTTTGTTTTGTTGTAAAATGTGACCCTTTCTGGCTTCATTTGTGTTGAGGATTCGCTATCAATCTTATCATCATAGTGTAACACTGACAGTATCAATACTACTCTGTTTTTCTTCGCCATATATAAGGCCACTGTATGTCTTTCTGATATCCAAATATTGTACTATACATTTCTCTATTATAAACTTGCAAAAATTTTTCAGGAATCTCCACTTTGTTCTTGCAAATCATTTCTGTGCTGGTCATCTAGTGTTTTTTTAGAAAATGTAACATCAGTGGTTAACTAGCAAACCAACTGTCAAATAGGACATTTCAGTTACTTTTTGATAGGTTTAAGAAGTCTGTTCACATCATACAGTTTATTACTGCATGAATAAAGACCTGATGGCTGAGTACCAGGATAATTTCTAAATTTAAGGTGTAGAACATGTTTGCATCTACCAGAGCATATATTTTTATAACATATTTGGAAGGTTTATTTGGCATATATTCCTGAAAGCTACAATGGCCACAAAATGATGCACGTTGTTCATCACTTGTCATGTATTTGGATGGTGCATAAATTGCTTGACAATTCAAAATTTGAATTTTGACAATTCAAAAGTGAATGAGTGAATAGCAGCTAAACTGTCAGATTTTTTTTCTTTCTTGCAGGGTCTTTTGTTGTCAAATGTAGCAATTCTGAAGGAAACCTAATCTCTGGAGTGTGATTGTTGTTCTAAAAATCTCTATGCCCCATTGTTCGTTTCTCCATAAATCCTTTAGATTTTGATGATTAGAATGATAAAGTCCTGCTATGAAGGCTTTCATTTCAGAGTGAGGTATCATGATAGCTGTGTTTTTTAAGTGTGACTATTGACATGTTTCACTTGTATTTCATTATTAGTGTGTCTCACAGCGTCGTGTAGAACATCACTTATTATGAAGGATTCCAGCATGGAGTCGCAGCATTGGCAGTGGGTCCAGTAGGTTTCACCCTGGAAAAAAAAAAACTAGTAGCATTTTCTGGCCTTGTTCTAGGTTGGATTGTTCAGGTCTACCTGACCGTGTTGTAGCATTCTGACTGCGTAGTTAAATACTGATTTTCATGACTGTTCTCTTCCTCATCTGAGCCAGCCTTCACTCCCTACTTCCCTGTCAGTTCAGGCTCTTCTCCTAGTGCAGGCGCTCAGCTCAGGACCCAAGTCACCGCTGGGTGACTCACCCAGTGACTCACTCCCAACCTCCTCTCAGCGTTGTAAATGCAGATTTTCATGTGACAGTGCGCTGAGTCGGGCTAATTCTGCCCGACAAAAGAAACGTTTAATAAAAAATTATAAACGCATAACAAACGTAACACGGAGTGTAAGCTGGGTTAAAACTCACCTGTTGATACTTTGACACACGTGCGGACACCTTACTGTTTGTCTGCCAAATGGGCAAACACAAAGATCATTTCCTGTGTTTCCCCAGCCCAGCTACTGAGACACACAGTCGGCTACCAGTACGCTACAGTAAATATTTTCATTAGAAATCTGCAGTCTGGGTGTATTTCAGCCTTATTGTACAAGCCGTTTGCTGCTTTAAGCCACTTATTTATTTAGACTTTCTGATTTTTTTTTTTTTTGGTTCCAGGGATCGAGCCCAGCAGGGCAGGGCTATGGGCACACTAAACACTCCCAGCTACTACTGGAATAGTTTCAGGGAATTTGGGCATGGATGAGTCCCATAACAGACTCCTTATTAATTATACATTATTTTGCCTTGGAATCCTATTCTGGTGCCTGATTTGGACATAACTGTTCCAAAATATAACCAATTAACATATTATATATAATGTAAGGGAAGTTAGGAAAGGTCTTTTCTGATCAACTGTAAAATTTATCATGCATCATATACTATACATAACACATTAAATCCATGTTATTCTATATAAACATTTTAAAGGCTAGGTAGCTAAGAGGATGTATAAATTATTTTCCAGGTTACAGCAGGAGGCAGCTGGGCATGGTGGAGTGTGTGTCTGTGGCCCCATGCACTTGAAAGGCTTAGACAGGAGGACTGCTGGAGCCTAGGTGTCCACCTGAGAACTAGAAGCACCTCTCCACTTCTCCTACACTGGCCAGAGGGAAGACGTGGCTTGGCCAGCGTGTGTCAAGCCCCCTCCCTCTGCTTCCCTTTACTCCGCCTCACCTACACAGCGGACCAGGACAGCTTGCTTTTGTGTTCTCCGTGACTGTCAAGCTGTCAGAATTCACTAACACAGGGGTGCAGCAGGCTGTCCACGTAGTGCCCATGCCCCACCCCTGCCACTTCAGATGTGACTGTTGCCTTTTTGAAGAAGGGAAGAGGCACCCTGATGTGGCTAAGATAAGGGAGGGAAGGACCTAGGCCTCTTAATTAATTAATTAATTTTTAGGCCCCTTATTTAAATACCCAACCCTCGTAGCAAACTTTCCAGAAGATTCTCTGGTTTCAGCCCTCCCCCTGTAAAGGAAGGCCTAACTTCCCTTACCCCCGTTATATACAGTAGCAGCCACTTCCTGGGGTCAGTCCCTCGGGTATTGACTTTGGTGCTGAGCACTGGCCCTGCTAAAATGCTCACTTCTGTGCGCCTTTGAACTTGCTCATGGTTTATTTCTTGGGTGTATGGGCTTCAAAAGTCCTGTGAACCTACTTGGGACTTTTACCCTGGGTAGTGTAGACAGAGTGGTCAATTGAAATGAGACATCAGTAAACACTAAGAGCTGCTAGCACCGAAGAACTCCAGAGAACAGCAGCAAACAGAGGCCAGCGCCTGGTAAAGTTGACCTACAGTGACTGGTGGCGGCTGGCTGTGTCAACTGCTGGAACCCAGCATTACCTGTGTCATAAGGACTGCTAGCAGAGCTGTGCTTTGCTGATTCAAGATTTCCAACTGAACTGAGCAAAACATCCCCAGGCTGACTGGCAACACAGCTAGCCTTATCACTTAAAACACAACACAACAAAACAAAACAAAAACCACTATAACACCCTGGGTATGTTGGGGCATACCTGTAACCCCAGCATTTGGGAGGCTGAGGCAGGAGAAACACTAATTGGAATCCAGCCCAAGCAATTTAGTACCTCAGTGAGACCTGTCTGAGAAAATAAAAAAGGCTCAGGGATGGGACTGTGAAGGCCCTGGGTTTAAGCCTCATTACTGAAAAAAATATGAACTGTGCTGGGTGTAGTGTCACACGCCTGTAATCCCAGCACTTGAAAGGCTGAGGCAGGAGGATCACTGCAAGTTCAAAGCCAGCCTGGGCTACAAAGTGAGTTAAAGGCTAATCTTTACTACCCTGTCCCCAAAACACAAAAAACCAAAATCTAAAAAACAAACAAACAAAAACAAACCACGAACTGTATGACATGAGTAACACAATATACTTTTGTTTTTGTGATTATCATTAAGGGATGATAAAATGGTGTGGATGCATGTGGTGTGTGTGTGTGTGTGCGTGCGCGTGTGTGTGTTGTTGGGGATTGAACTCAGGACCATGACCATGCTAGGCAAATCCTCTACCACTGAGTTAGTTACATTCCCAGGCCTTTTAAAAATTTTGAGACAAGGTTTTTGCTAAATATCTCAGGATGGCCTCAAACTTATCATCCTTTTCTCTCAGCCTCAAGTTGTTGGGATTGTAGGCATGCACTACCGCACCTTTCTAAATGACAGATTTTAAATCTCAAAATCTACTCTTTCCAAATCAATCAGGAAGCCTTTCCAAATAATTCATCTTCTCAGTGGGAAAAATGAAGTCAGCTACCTTTAGTGTGTTTCACCAGACTGGGTTATACCTTGCACACACGTGCAAACTTTCGGGCTGTTTATTTTGAAACTAAACATAACTTACAGAGAAGACATTTATGGGAAAGAGCAATTTTGCACGTTGATGAAGGTAACCAGGGGAAAAGGGTACTCGGAATTTCCTTTTTTTTTTTCCCTAAAGAAGAAAACAAACAAACAAGATATCACGATCACGTCTTATTACTTACAAGTATCTTACCTTTTGCCACTTTTTCATAAATGATATTACTGGCATAATTATACTACATTCCATATTTCTGATTATGATTTTAAAACATTCTTTAGCATGTATGTTTCTTTCTAGTTTTGGTATTTGGTGCACAAAAATTATAGATGATAGTTCTGCTGAGCAGCAGACTAAAAACACCACGGAAAGTACTGTGTCCATATGAACTCTTAGAGGACCTATCTTGCTGTGCCGGTTTTGAAGTTTATTACTCCATCCACTGCCACCGATAGGCTCCTTTCTGAATCCTCAGTTTGTGCACCGAGGAGAGGATTGGGTGCCCTGTGCACACTGCTGGTGTTTCTGCTCTTGGTGGGCAGCACGGCTGCTGTGGGGAGAGGCTGGAGTCTGTCCGCCTCGGACTGCAGTTTTTCTCACAGTCCACTGTGCGGCTGCTCAGGTATCATCCCTAAATGCCTCAGCAAGTCGTTGGTTAACATTGGCCCATGAGCTGTCTAACCTTTTAGGTGAACCTTTCTAAAGTGTTGGATTTAATATGGAGTTAGTCAGTCCTCCATTTCTTATTCCAATATTAAATGAATACAATGTTTAAATGCAGTGATATTGTGGGATACTGTGAATTCTCAACATTTCTATAGAATGAAACCAATACAGCCATTCTTCAAATATATGATGAGCTTTGTAGCTTGCAAACAAACTTCCTAAAGGTTTGGCTGCATGTTCAGGTTGATTTTGCTGCGAATCACATGAATCTGCTTCACTAAAATTTTGTTTTAGGAGTTGGTACAATGAAGACAAAAAAGAAATCCACCTACTTTGTAGGCACTGAGCTAATGAGATATTTGATATATGAGAGTTTTGTATTTTATTTGGTTGATGTTCAATTTTGAATTGCACTTTACTCCATACCCCATACAGAACGTAATACTTTGAACTTCTCATGATTAATTTAACATTAATTAAAAAACAAATTATTTTGATGCTATTTACTTGCTTGGGCTACAGTTGATTTATCTGAGTTGTTACACTAATTCTTTTTAAATGGAATTATCATGTGTATGACTGATTAAATAGAAGGAAAAATATAACTTTTGTATTTCTACATATTCATTATTGCTACCTCATAAAATATAATTTTTTAAAATAAGTGTTGGAAGCAAAATTAATACCAATGGAAACAAATTCAATTTAAACATTTGTTTATTAAAAGTTAACTGAATTTATTAGATGCAGTTTTATAGTGGTTTCAGTCAAAACCTCAAAAGCACATTTCTCTGGGGGGTGGGTTATGGCCCATGTGGCATACCCCTCCCTGCATAACCCCAGTAATGGTTACTTGGTGCTAATCATCCTCTGTGGCAATAAGGGGAAAGGGCAAAGCCACATATAGCCAGTGCAAAAGCTGGAAAACAATACAGGTTCTAGAGCAACTTTAACCAACTACCTGATACAACAAAATGCATGTTGTAACAGTGACAGACATTTATTTTGTAGAGGTGAGGATCAAACCTTCATGCATCAAAACCTCACCCTTCCCAGTGCACAGACTCCTGCTGGGCAGAGCTAAGCTTTGCAGAAGTAACGCATGTGCACTGAAGAAAATGAGCAAACAGCTTAAATGGATAACTGGAATCAACATCCAGCATCCTTCCCACTTCCACGTGCATGGCAGATAGGTTCTCCGGCACCAAGTCTTTTGTTTGGGAATATGGCAGAACACCTGACATCCAGCACTTCCAACATATCCTTTTGCTTCAGAAATGCATGCGCATATGAAGAGAGAGGTAAAAAACAATTCAGGTGTAATTAGGTGGTCAGTATAAAACTGAGGTACATATGGATTGCTGGAAGTATGGACCTATTTTTGACTCTAAGAATTTTTTTCAAAGTGAAGAGGCAGAATAGGTGATAGAATCTATTTTTGAAAAAGACACATATACCACACCCTGTGCCCTAAACCAGATGGTAAGTAACACAGCACAAGGAAGATTTCTTTTACTGAGGGATCAGTAACTTATTTCAGGAGCATTCTAGAGTAGCAATTTCTCTTGCCATTTGGGCTTTCTACTTCTTATTTTTCACTTTATGGTTCACTAACATTTGCTTTTGTCATTTACACTGATCATATGAAATCCTAATAAATCCCCCCTCCCGCGCCTGCCTTTTGGCTGTCTGAGGCAGAGTCTCACTATGCAGTTCATGCATTTTGTAGCCCAGGCTAGCCTCGAGCTTGCAGCAATCCTCCTGCCTCAGCCTCCCAAGTGCTGGGATTACAGACGTGCACCATCCCGCCTGGGAACCCTAATAAATCTTAAACCTGTGTGGTCAATAATATGTTTTTGCTTAGTCTTTTCCACTATCGTTATAATAGAATCAATTTGCCCTGAGAACACAAAGCCAGCCTCTGCTTGTTTCGCTGTGAAACTCGGGACCATGCACAGGGATGTGGCCGGCTATCAGAGTCATTGCTGGCTGGGATATTGAAGCCAGAGCTCAAGGCTGCGCAAAACGGGAATGCCTTTTCAATAAATAGTGTAAGTGTGCATGTCCATTTTCTAATAAAACAGTGAGAAGAATAATTCTCAAAAGGCTCTTATTTTCTTTCCCTGAGAGGGAGGTCCAATACGGATTAACCACTGTCAATCCCAGTCTTTTAAGATACCTAGACGTTTTGAAGTAACTTTGGCCACCTTAGTAAAAGCTACTGGCTGCAAATTCAAAATGCATAGTAGTAAATGTCCATGTTATTTTTTAATCAAAACAACTTATATAATTTTATTTTTCTGCAATAATATTTTCTATTAAACTTAAATTTCCACTATAATTTGTAATGCACGTTAATATATTAATCATATATTGCTTTCATTTCATAATGTTTTTATTTTTGTAGGCTATTCAAAGGACTCCTTATTATCAAATACTTGTCAAAAAGCCTGACAGAAATGGGATACTCCTGAGGATATAACAATAATTATTGAGTATGAGATATAGCATCTTGAGTTACAAATTAACTTTTTCAGGTCTTATTTACATTGAACTCATACACTCAAATAAGAATACTGATAAAGGTAAGATAATTGCTACCTCAAAAAGAGTAATTTTTAGTTGGAACTGAATGGAATCCTAAATTTTATTAGTAACACTGAAAATCTTATTTTAATAGCATGTCCTTTTAAAAGAGCTTAGAATATAGGGGGTCTGTTTCAAATACCCTAATTAGGAAACCATGTCAGAAAATAGCAATTATAATTTTTGGAAATTATAATCCCAAATTTTTTGGAAATTTTTTTTTTTTTTTTAAAGGGGGCTCATGATAAAGAAATCCTGTCAGGTTAAGTTCTGAAAAGGTTTATTGTAGCAGACTCCCTAGGAAGGCCTCCGGAATAACTGAGAGACTCCAGTGCATGCTATGTGTCAGAAATTAAACTGCTTTCAACTGACAATGAAATTTGACACCTTTGATCTTAGAGATACAGGATACCATAGATAAGCCTGCCTGACCTCTGGAGGGTTTCTTCCCTTAGTCTACATGCAGGCTGTACATGTTTTAGGACTTCTTATAGAGAGGAACATCTTTAAAAATTCTCATAAATTTTAAAAAGTGCTTCCTAACTTGAAAAATTTTTGTCATTAGGTATTTCATACTAGGCTGAAAGCCTTGTCAAATATGATGGAACCAAATACATTATGAAGCTATGGCTAAGAACAACTTACCCATGATTAAATTTCTGTGGAAGGTGAACACCTGGTGTCAGCCCTGACGCAGGGGAGAGGCGCAGGGTCTCTCAAGGAGCTGCCATGTAGGGTTGGGAGTTGAAAACGGTGATGCTAGAATCAAACTTTCCTTCTGAGCTTCCACACTTCCTCCCCCAAAGTCACTCGGAGAGAGGGGAAGAAAATAAGTTTCTGGGTTAAATAGCTGACAGGAATGAAAATTACACGCTGGAAAGAAGGGGTAGAATGACTATGAAGGTTGACCAAGGAAAAAGCTGTCATGCATGTATGAAGAACGCAAAGATAGCAGACTCAGCGTATACTCACTTGTGCGTAAGACATAACAGCAACGACACATGCTTGTTAAATTTCAAACATTCTTAAGGATCACTATCTCAGTGTGTGACCGTGCACTGAGCGAACAGGTAGCCACTCACTGCTCTCAAGAATGTGACACCCAGCAGTGTGTACTGTATTATCAGTGAGAAACTATCTTAAGTTTAATTTAAAAATTGATACTTCATACATTTGCTGGGTCTTCGGAGCATGCTTGGAACAATTTGGGTGTGTGAATTTGTTTTTTCAACTATACCCTTTAGGGATTTAAGTACAGTGGTTTGCAAACAGAATTGTGGGAAGAATTAAATTTGTGACTGAGGTATCACTTACTGATCAAGTCTGTGATAAAAATTTAAAATGTGGGTGGAGATGCCCTGTAATGTAAAATACGAATTGGGTTTTAAAAGACTAAACATAAACAAAAAAAATCTCATTAATGATTTTAAAATATTCTAGCTGGAATTATATACCTAGTTAAATGGAATGTTGTAAAAATTAGTTTCAACTGTTCATTTTAACTTTTCCAAATGTACTAGGAAATTTCACATTATGTATGTGGCTTGCATTGTATTTGTATCGCACAGTGCTTGTACAATTGAAAAAGTCCTGTAGAGTCCCTATATTACATTTTTATTTTTGGCATCAAAATATTTTCCTAGTATACCTCACTGCCCTTTTATTCACAGCTATGCATCGTTGTCTCATTCTTTTTATGTCGTGAAGCTGTTAACAGCTGGAGTTGTTGGTCTGCATCTTGAAGAAAATGATTCCAGAAACTTGTGGAACTGCGGTTCACCTTGAACACTTCTGGCTAGGTGTGGCAATATGCAAAAGCGACTGCCTGACCTCTGGAGGGTTTTTTCCCTTAGTCTACATGCGGGCTGTACATGTTTTAGGACTTCTTATAGAGAAGAACATCTTTAAAAATTCTCATAAATTTTAAAAAGTGCTTGCTAACTTGAAAAATTTTTGTCATTAGGTATTTCATACTAGGCTGAAAGCCTTGTCAAATATGATGGAACCAAATACATTATGAAGCTATGGCTAAGAACAACCTACCCATGATTAAATTTCTGTGGAAGGTGAACACCTGGTGTCAGCCCTGACGCAGGGGAGAGGCGCAGGGACTCTCAAGGAGCTTCCATGTAGGGTTGGGAGAAACTATCAAACTATAGTTGAAAAAACAAATTCACACACCGAAATTGTTCCAAGCATGCTCAGAAGACCCAGCAAATGTATGAAGTATCAATTTTTAAATTAAACTTAAGATAGTTTCTCACTGATAGTTTCTTTAATTTCGAAGGACTGTTTGCAGCGAACGTCTTTGAGGGATGACGCAGTACTCTTTCAGGACAAAGAGGTTTAATTTTGTCTTGGTTATTTTTCTCTCCTTTCTGAGACAAAATACCTAACACCCAAAATTAGAGAGGAAAAGCTTTATTTAGCTCAGTTTGTAGACGTTTCAGTCCATAATCAGCTGGCTCCAAGGCAGGGTGGCATGGCCGAGGGGCAACAGTTTACGGTGGCAGAAGACAGCAAAAGCAACAAGGTAAAGAAAGCGGCTTTCCGTCCCTTAGTGTGTCCAGTCTACCCGGATTACGGTGCTGACAATCCAATCAGTGGACTGATCCAGCTGTCACCTGCCCTTAACCCCAGCACCTTTAATTCCAGCACTGGACTACGAATCAATCACACACTTCTAGATCCAGTGACCTCTGAAAAGCATGCCCCCACAAGTGCAGGAGGCTCTAGGGGGGACATCTAGACACAAACCATAACAGCTTCTATGACAAAAAGCAATGATTCTCACTTTGAGAGGCTGAGGCAAGAGGATCAAAGTTTAAGCCCAGCCTGATAACTTAGGGATTTAGTCTCAAAAAATAAAAGGGCTGCGGATGTGGCTTAGTACAAAAGCCCTAGGTTCAAGCCTCAGTACTGGAAAAAAGAAAAACACAGTGAATGTTTCTGGCTCAGTAGGCACTAGTTACAAAGGGAACTCTCCATCTGTGTGGCCACGTTGTGTGTGGCCCCGCGGAACCTGGGGCGAGAGGAAGCAAAGACAGTATGCCGATACTCAGACTCTTCGTTGTGCTGTGCATAACTGTGCTTTGTGTCTGTCCCAGAATTTTGGAGTCTTCTGCTAGCATTTGTGAAAGATTAACCTACTAGACTGTAAGTAGGGCAAAATAAAATCTGAGACCTGACAGGATATACTTAAAGTCATGTATTTATACTGAGTTACAGGAATTTACTAGGTTTGATGGAACATAAAAATTCTTTTTATTAGTACAAAATAACCAGTTGATATTTCTTCCTATAGGAAAATATTACACATACACTGTATGAAATGCTAGTATACAAAAGTGTATACATAATACATTTATTTCCCAAGACTATTTCTAAGAGTAAGATTTGGAAAATAGAAACAAAATGAACATAAGAATTCTGTGGGACTAAATTTCAGAGCCAACAGATTTTGCAGGGACAGTTTATCTACTATAATATATGTATCTTCAGGACAGAAGGAAACATTACGTAGAGTATAAATGTACGTAAAAAGGCACAAACACAACATATTTTGGTTGGAATTTCAGAGATACTTTTTTCTTTTTTCTTTCCCCTTTACCTCAAATGTTACAAATACTCTTGAAGTGGCGTGTATTGTTGTCTTTTTGATTTTTTCTTGCATAGTCAGTGAATCTGAGGGTCTCGATGCCTGGTGATCATCTGTTTGGCCTTCCCAGTCTTTTGTTTCTTCTTCTCTGATTAGTAAAGGTTTTCCTAGGGTTTGGCCAACAAGGTTACAGACTTCTTGAGCTTTGCGCCATGCATTCTCAACAGCCACAAGACAGGCCTGCCGTCTTAGGAATTAAACGCAGAGAGCATTAATATGCCATCCAGTGGACAGTAGCACTGAGTAATTTTGTTTAAGAAATTAATAATTTAAAGACGTGTTTAACTCACCGAAGGTTTTCAGTGGAACCTGGAGTATGATAGAACTGGGGTGGAGTGATGACAACAGAGCTATCTAGTTTTTCAACAAGAAAGTTGCAAATATTTTGCATTTTTCCAAATTCAGTAAATGTAATGCAGACCTGTAAACAAAATGACACTCACTATTATTTTCATGTCTGATATACTGTTTCAAAGTTTTCTGTAAATATGAGTAAAAAAGTAAATCTAGGCTACAAGGTTTTTTTGTAAGTAACAGATAAGAAAAGCTTATTTGATACTTTTTTCTTTTTTGATACTTGTAATTAAATTACTTTGGTATTGAAGTTAGAGTTTGCTTATAAATTCTGAAATTTAGAGAGTACTGACTTGAGTATTTAAAAAATTTTAAATCACCTTAAAAATTACTCATTTTTAATTTTCATGAAATTTGCAGAGTTCCTCTTCAGCTTTATTGTTGGACTAGATTCTAAAATAACTTTTCCCTAATCTTTGCCATCAGATTCCTGATTAGCAATGATGATGTCATACCTATCTGCTATCGCTGAGCTGTATTTCTTCCAATAGTTATTCGAGACCTATATGCAGAAGTTTGTCTATTTTACTACGTTCTCCGACTTTAAATATGTGAGACTAATACTTTAATAGTGTAGTTTTTTAAACTTTTTAATGGAAGATGTCCAAACCTTTTCTTCTAAAGAGTGCTTACACGAGCTCAATAATGGAAAATAAAAAAGTACAGGCCTTAGAGTAGCAGTAAGGACGTGAGATGACTTCATCTTACACACTGGAAACCAGTGACTTTAATTGTGAATGTCATCCACTAAAGACTCATCCTCCCTTGGTTTCAAAATTCAGTACTGCTCATAGCAACAGGAACGGGAAACAGATTCCGTTCAATTTAAACTGCAAAAGATACAAACACTCCAAAACATGCAGCATTCTCTTTCCTTGAACTCGTCTCTACTTTATTTATCTATGAGTCCTCCAATGACTGGTTTCTTGGTGAGCAGCCCATTCTGTCTCCACTCATTACCATCGTTTCTCTTGTAATCTCTCACCTGTTTTCATATTTGTTATTCCAAGAACCTTTACGAAGTGACCTATGATCCCTTATCCCTTTCTCACTGCTGGCGCTTCACTCCTACCTGTCTCCTAGCGCTCAGATTCCTGGCTCCTTAGCCTCCAAGACTGTTTTCAGGGTGTTCTTTGACCAGGCTTCTCTTGATTTTCTGTTTCCACTTCATCCACCTGTCCCTTACTGTTGAGCAGGCAGTACTTGGATTTCTATGAATCATGTGGACATTGTCCACTCTAAGTTTACTTTCTACCTTTTAAAACTTAGAATGGAAAATTTCAAACATATACAAAATACAGTCAATAGTATAAAGAGCCCTCAGGCATCTACCATCTGGCTTCAGAAATGATCACCTCATGACACTTTTGACCAATTTTTCACTTGGTAACTGTGTAACCCTTATTTTACTTAATAATGGCCTCAAAGGGAAAAAGCAGTGATGCAAAGAGGACACACGGCATAAACAATGGGAGGACTGATTGATTCTGGTATTATTTAGCAACACTGCTGAGCCTGTGGGAAAACAGTGCAGACAGGGTTAGGTATGGTGTGCAGTGTTAGGCATGAGACTGTATCCTCCGCAGACCAGGCGAGGCTGGGACTGGGGCCGGGGCAGCCATCTATTCCACATCGTGATGTCAATTCTTTCGGATATGTACCCTGAGGTGGACCATGTGGCTCATACGGTAGTAATCCACTTATTCTATTAAGGAAACTCTGGACTGTTTTCTGCAGTAGTTATGTGTCATTTTACATTCCCACCAATACTGTACAGGGTGCAAAGTTCTCCATATCCTCACCACCATCCCTGCTTTTTCAGTAACACCACTCTAACAGGTATGAGGTCACAGTTCATTGTGGTTTTATATTTCGCTGACAATTAGTGATGTTGAGCTCCTTTTCATATACTTGTTGGTCATCTGTCTTGTATGTCTCTTTTTGATAAATGTTTATCCAAGCCTTTGGTTTTTTTTTTTTTTTGAATCTAAGGTCTTTTCCCTGAGCTACATCTCCAGTCCTTTTCAAAATTTTATTTTGAGACATTGTCTCAGAAGTTGCTAAGTTGCCCAGCGTGGGCTGGAATTAGTGAGCTCCCTGCCTCCACCTCTCAGAGTGCTGGGATGATAGGTATGTACCACTATGGCCCATTTTAGAATTAAGGTTTTTGCTAGTTAATTATAGAAATCTACCTACGATCTACTCTTACTGCATATATTTAACAGTCCATGAGACTAGTAGTATATGCTACATATTAGGGTTTAGTGTGTGCTACATCCATAGCATAAAGCTACACATTGCTCTTTATGCACAGACTGGCTCATTTTGTAACCTGTGATTCCATTAGCCGGTCTCCACTGATCTAAAACTAATCATGTATGTAATGTGAGTTCTCACTGGAAGAGAGCCCTATACAAAAATATAATCAGATTTTCTCAAGAAATTTTTTTTTTTTAAAGGCAAGCACAATAGGAAGAGGAGGAGAGTTTCATGACATTCTCAATCATGTCTTAGAACAAACAACTCTAGTGGGTGTGGGGATGCATGCCGGTAATCTCAGCACTCAGGAAGCTGAGGCAGGAGGATTGCTGCAGTCCAAAGGCAGCCTGGACTACACAGTAAGTTCAAGGCAAACCTGGACTACAGTGAGACCTTGTCTCAAAAAACAAAAACAAAAAAAACCCCAAACCAAGCAACTCTAAAACACTCTCTGTACTTGCAAGTTCAGTCTCCTATTTAAGTGGTCTGAACGTTCTGGCTTTGCATGAAGTCTGGCTGAATAATTCTGGGACTATTTCTTTTCCCTCCTTAGTCCCAGGTGTATCTTCACAACACATCTCATTTCTTATCTATGCTCATCATGATCTGAAGTCTAACAGCTAAGAACTACTAGGGAGGTGCTGCAGCATGCTCCCAACTTTCTACAATCTGGACTCTTATCATCGTTCTTCATCTGACTGAAAGGTACTTTTCAGTCCCCACTAGTACAAAGTAACTTCTGCCACATAGATTTCCAAAATCATAATGAGAAATTTTATATTTCCTTGAGATAGTTAAATTTTAAAGGAGAAATCACAAAATGGTTGAAGTAAGCATTAGGGCAACAGACAGACTATTGTTGAAATTACAAGAGAGAAGATGCCTGGGTATTAACCTTCATTCTAATTCTAGGTCTAAGTGATCTGAAACTCATACTAAAATTAGGAAACATAACATATTATCCATCTGAATATAGGACCAGGCAATTTCTTGAGGCATTTTTCTACCCCTAGAGACAAAGACTCCATCACTAGACAAATAGAATTCCACTCTTTTCCCAGTCTTTGTTTCTTAAGACAAGGAGGCAGCATAACCACATACCCTAAAGTGTTTGGACTTAGAAATAGCAATGTCCTAACTAAATTAGAACTACAGCATACTCTGATTTCATAGAATCCTGATCACGAAATCCTTAAAGGTAGGTAAAAATACAGGCAGATGTAGAATCTAAAAGTTATAATTGAGAATACCTAGAACAGATCTTTCTTTTTATTTGTATAAAGGTTAAAGATTTTTATTTTTAAATAATACTTATCACAACACAGTGAAAATGCACTATGGAACAAAAAATGTTACAAAGTGTTTCAATCCTTTATGCTCTGACTTTATTTATTTACTTTTTTTTTTTTGGTACCAGGAATTGAACTCAGAACCTTGCACTTGCCAGGCAGGCGCTGTGCTGCTGAGTTATATTCCTGGGAAGTATTCATTTACTTTTACTTTTTTTTTTTTTTTTTTTTGGTTTTTCTCTGGTACCGGGAACCGAACTCACGACCTTGCACTTGCCAGGCAGGCGCTTTGCCGCTGAGCTAAATCCCCAGCCCCTTCATTTACTTTTTACCTAAGAGAAATCGGTCCTATAGTATTTCCTGCTTAGTAGGCAATATTATTATTAAAAATTTATTCAGGTGGTAATTAGATGCTATTTCACCACTGTTATTTTTAATTCATTTTAAACAATTCCTCTTAAATAAATCTCACTAAAATTATTTTAAAAGATCATCAGAAATATAACATCAAAATGATTTTAAAATAATCTTTTATCATTACTATGAGAACTTCTCTAATGTGTTACAGTTCAAGAATAAAACTGAATGACAAGTTGTACCTACAAAGCTACACCGTCAACAATTATTTGATTAGTACGTACCTCTGCTTCCATGTGATAAGCATTTTCCACTCTTCTAAAATCCTTCGTTACAATTATATTTTCTGCCTGAGACAGAACAAGACTGTGATTACTAAGTGTTTGGCTACTAGATGCAGTCACTCCTAGGCATGGCACGGATGAAGAACTGTTCATACATAATGCATATTTAATGTCAGAGGAGTGTTAACTTAAACAATTTCTAATTTCTAAATAGTTTGGGGCAAGTACTCAACTTTTTTGAGTTATAAAATCAGGTTGCTACATTGTATACTATTATGAAATTGTTAAGGATTTAGTGAGAAGCTATATTTAAAGTACTTGACACAGAGAAGGTACTAGTGAGTAGATGCTACACTATTACAAGATAAATGTTTCTGAAACACTGCATTTTGATCAGTTTGTCTCTACAGAAGTAGTAGTAATGTTTTTTGACTCTCTGGGTAATAAAGGGCACATAATTCTGATTAAAAGTTAAATTTCTTATTTACTTTTTAAAACGCTTTTAAATTGAGTGAAATGAACTCTAGCTACTTTCATCCTTGGGGATGCTCAAAACATTTATATATTTTTGTATCTTTCAAAATAAATGCTAAGTAACAACAATGATTACCATACCAATTACTAATTTAGTAAGCTATTTTGTAAGGAAAAGGCTGCACCTAAGGTTTAAGGTAAAAATTTATTACATGCATTTTGTGTTATCCAAAAAAATCCTAAAATGTTTTGAGTATGTCAACTCATGTCCCAATTACAGCTCTGTTACCTGTCACTTGTATGAAAATTGAACTGCAATTTTTCTTGCTATAAAGGTAATACCTGTTCACTGTAGAAAACTTAATAGTACAGTATAAAGCTCATAGGGCCAGGGATATAGCTCAGTGGTACAAATGCCTGCCTGCCAAGCGCAAGGTCCCAAGTTTGATTCCCCCACCAAAAAAACAAAAAACAAAACAAAACAAAAAAAACAGTATAAAGCTCATAACCAGCTTTTTTCACTTAACATGTAACTTTTCTGTTATTTAATATTTTTTGATGACATGTAAATATATCTTTGTTTCAGTTTTGGACATCTTTTTTCTATTCTTCATTTAAAACAGAGTTCTGACTGAAAATTATTATAGAAATAATTGTAGGAAAGACAACTGGAAGGAAAAGAATCCTTTATTTGCTTTTAGGTGTTACTTTAAAATATATAAACAATACATACTAAAGAAAGTCTAATACTATAGAAAAGAACAAAAAGTAGTAACTTTCTCAAACTTTATTATTGCTGATATTTTAGAAAGCATCTTTCTAGACCACTGCATTTCAATTTGTTTCTACAAAAGTAATATTAATGCTACTACCTTATTCTTTTAGAAAGCATTCTTCTAAAATATCAATGCACATAAACATATGTAGACAAATGCATAGACTTTTCCATAGATTATATCCCACATACAGTTCTGAACTTCTTAAATATGAATTTTTATTTTGCAATAACATTGAATTTATAGAAAAGTTGGATGCTCAGACTGCTCACTGCTCCTTGACTGCCATTCTTTCTAGGCCCTCTCAGTGGAACAGCTCGACCATCCACACAGATCGATGATTACTTCTGTGTCTTTCCACCTGTATGTGGCATGGCAAACTTGAGTTCCCACTGATCCCAGAGTGCAGTTCCATTTCCCTTCTTGTCTGGAACTTCCTACTCCAACAGGAGGAAACCTGGCTCCTACTACCCATCCACCATCCACTCACTCATTTGTTCACCACCAGTACACTGTATGGATAAAGCAGTTTGAGAACTGTTAACTAGTACCCCCTTGGAAATAAATCTACTAACTAGATAATACAGTCTATGTACACTTCCTCTTTGTCCTTACAGCGTCCACTGAAAACGCCACTTGAAATCCCTCAGCACACTCCTTCTTCCCCCACCATCTTCCTGCAGTTCTGTCATTCGTTTGTAGTAGTTGGGCTCCTCAGTCAGTCTGAAGCCTACCATGGGATGGATCCTCTGGCCTATTTGATGCCCTTTTTTTTCAGCTTGCATTTGTTAATGACTCTTTGTTAGTTACAACTCTATGGGTTTTGACAAATGCATGGAGTTATGCATTTATCATGCCAGTACCATAAGGAACAGTTCTTTGGCCTTAAAGCGTCTGTGCATTCCCTTTACACTCAGCTGCTCACCCCTCTCACAAGCCCTGCCAACCACTGATCCGATTTCTGTCTCTATGGTTTTGCCTTTTCCAGAATGTCACAGGAAGAGAATATAAGCCTTTTTGGTCTGGGTTTTTTTTTTTTTTTTTTAAATTTAGCAAGGTGCATCTAAGACTCACTTGTCTTTTTCTGTGAATGGATTTTTGTACCTTTAATGATAAATAATATTTTCTCCATGCATGTACCAGTCTGTTTATTCATTTTCCTGCTGAGACACATGTTAGTTGGTTCCAATTTTAGCAATTATGAATAAAGCTGCTATAAATAGCCTGTGGTCAGATTTTATCTGAATGTACTTTTTAATTCACTGGGGTAAATCACCCAGGAATTCTGGGTTTCTATGATAAGTTAACATTTAACTTTTTAAGAAATTATAAGACTGTATTCCAAACTAGATATGTCATTTTGAAATTTCACCAGCCACGACTGAGTTACTGTTGTTCTGCATCCTGGCCAAAGTTTGGTATCATCAGTGCTACTAGATTTTATTCATTCTAATAGGTAATAGTAATATCTCATTATGGTTTTAATTTCCAGTTTCTTGATGACAAATTATATAAACATCTCTTCACGTATTTATTTGCCATCTGTACATACTATCTGATGAAGTGTTTGTACAGACCTTTTGTGTAATTTTTATTGTTGAAAATTTTCCATTTATTGATACAAATCCCTTATCAGATAGATAATTTACAAATATTTTCTCCCAGTCTATGGATTGTCTTCTCATTTTCTTAATGTTATATCACAAAGCAATTTTTAAAAATTTGATAAAGTATAATTTATTTTTCTAGTTGGCTCACAGCATGTGCTTTGAGTCTAAAAACTCATGTTCAAATCCAAGGACACATAGATTTTCTCATTTACTTTCGTCTAGAAGTTTTAGGTTTCACTGTCAGGAAATCAACACCTATTCACAGGCCCTGGCCCTAGAACGTTGCCTTAACAAGACAGAAAATGTCCTCACAGCTTGTACTGGCTGTGCTGCCCTGCATGCGGTTATCGTTACCTATCCACCTCAGACACACTGTGTACTCCTTTGTTCTGCTTCAGGTGTGTATCACACGCCACCTGGCCAGTCCCCACTGCTAGAGCTGTTCCTGTGGGGAAGGGATAGGGTCCTTTTGAAACAGCACAAGAGATACACGGAAGGCCAATTGCCCCCCATCAGCTGCCAAGAAGTCAGGTGATGGTGGTGGATTAACACCTACTTCTGCGCGTGACTTTGCTGTCTCTTCTCTGTGTTCCTAATGGGTTGTGCCCTCCAGGTCTTACTGAGTTGTGTTTTCCTGAGACACATATACCACGATGCAGTGGGTAATGTGGTGAGTCTCTTATTCTTTTTTTTGTTTGTTTGTTTTCGGGTACTAGGAATCGAACTCACAACCTCACACTTGCCAGGCAGGTGCTGTGCTGCTGAGCTAAATCCCCAGCCCCTGAGTCTTTTATTCTGACAGTAAGTAACAGGTGCCCTTTGCTCAACATTTATGTTTAGATCTATTATCCATTTTGAACAAATTTTTGTCTAAGGCACCTGTCATTCATTTTTTGCATATAAATATTAGACTTATACAAAAAAGACTGCTGAGATAAAATATTTTTCCAGTAAAACAATACTAAAAATGAGGGTTACATCTTCACACAAACGCATACATCTATGACCTAAAATACCCCTAAACTACAGCTTATTTTGTTCTTTTTTATTAGAAACATTTTGGGGGTATAAGTTATGTGATGAGTATGGACATAGCCCTTGAATTCACAAAAAGACAAACGCCCTCTGCTCTGGCGAGGTTTAGAATACGGAGCAGAAACTAGTAAATCAGGAATTACAACCCGAGGTGAGAAGTTTCACTACAAGGGAGGAGTGGAGAGGTGTATGCAGAGATTAGTGCTAGGTTAGGAGGGAACGCCAAGGAAGTGAGCTTGGCCTGGTGCCTAACGTGAGACTCATAGGAGGAACAGGAAGTTTAGCTTACAAGGAGCTCTTTTAAACTGGGAATGACGTTTACAAACATAAACTTCATTCTGAAGTTTAAAACGAATAGGAACTTTGTGCAGACCCATAATTCATCCTGAAAAATAATGTACATGAATTTATAACATCAACTGAACAAATTACCTACATGACTGCTTTGTTCCATTAACTGGAAGATTACGATTCTTCCTTTTGTCTTAAACACATCTTTAATATAATTACTATAAAATGGAAATAATTTATTTTGTTTTACATAGAGGTTAGAGCTACACGAGCTCAGTTTACATTTATGTAAGTGACTTAAGAACTAGTTTAGATTTTTCAGGTAGGACTGCAGTAGTAGCAGAAAGATTTTTACTAAGTATTTTTCTACAGATTAAACCCATTCTATTCATATTATTTACAACTAGCATTTGAATCCTTCTAAAATGTAAACTCGGGGAAATTTTTCCAAGTGACTTTAATAACTTTATGTTTGTAAATGCAATACATATTTTCTTGTTAAGATAAAGACTTACTTCAGGGGTTTTGGCATCTCTAAGAATAGACTGGAAGCAAAAATTCTGCACCATTTCAAATTAGTGTTTCCCTGGCTAAACGGTAACTCTGGTTTTTAGGATTATTCCTAATTACCTAGAGCCTAGCATAGGTTCTGGATATAGGAAACATATGAGTTCAAATACTGCCCTCCTATAAGTTTAAAGCATTACTTAACTTCCTTCAGTGTGGAAAATGGGTATATTAAAATACGTCTACCTGGCTTGCTGTGTGGGTGAAGTATGGATGGTTCTTTTCTCCTTTTCTTAGAAGTGAGATTATTTAGGGATCTGTCTCATAACTGGAGATTTTTCATATATTTGCCAGCTACAATATACTTTTTCAAAAAAGCTTGAACAGGTTTAAGATTTTGGGGGGAAATATTTTTAACCTGAAAATGGATCCTACCTCTCCCCCTCCAATCACTCCACGCAGAGCTTGACTTGGCCGGGGAGGAGGCGGGTCCCGGTTTTCACTGGACAATTTCACTATTAAAAACAAAACCGCAGCCAGTGAAAAACCCCTGCGACGCACATTCTTAAGACCCTGACCTACGGCCAACCAAGGCCCTCGTCGAGAGGCAGCAGGACCCCTGGGCGCCCCGCTGCCCGCCCCCGCGCCCACCTGCACGCCCTGCTGCCGCAGGCTCTGCGCGACGTAGTCCAGGCGGCGGCTCACGCTCCGCTTGGCCTCGGCCGCCGCCTCCTTCGTGCTGCCCACGCGCACTACCACTTGCGCCCGGTCGGGGCGCGCCGACACCGCCGCGGTGCCGCTGACGTGCACCTCGCGGGGCGCAGTTTGGGCCGGTGCGGAGGAGAGGGCCCGGCAGGTGGCCGGCAGAGTCTCTCCGCTGGAGACCAGGTCCTTCTCCCGGCCGCGGTCAGCCCAGGGAACCAGTTCCACGAATACCCGCGATGGAGCGGCCTGCGGCAGCGACATCTGCGCGGAAGCTGGGTTTCCATAGTAACTCGGGCTACGGCGGCCGGAGGGTACCGCGGACGCCCCGACTTCCGGTGCGAGGCTCGAGGCGCGGAGGATGCTGGGATGGGGCGGGGGGCCGGGAAGGAGTTAAGGCGGCGTGCGAGGCTTGTAGAGCTTCGTGTCTCGGCCTTAGGGGGCTCCGGCCGCGTGTGCTGGTATGCTTTTCAACACCTTTACTTACGGCCTTCGCAGGCCTCTTTGGCCTCGGTGTCGTTCCGCACCGTCCTTGCGCACGCGTCCTGGGCCGGCGCCCCTCGCCTGCGGGAGAGGCTGAGGCGAGGCTCGAGATGCGAGGTGTCCGCGTCCGCCTCTGGCCGCTCGCAGCCTTGCCCTCCTCAGCTCAGCCCGGGTCCCTGCGACCCTAGAGTTTAGTTCAGCGACTTTTTTATTTTTAAATTCACAAGAAGTTTGTGTGGAGATGAGCTACAGTTTGCTGATGTGATCATGGGAAGTTTGTGATCCCCCAAATCTCAGTTTGTGCAAAGCAGTGTTGCTGTTAGTTTTAACATTTGCCCCGGGGCCATGAGGTGCCCGTTGCATGAAGAATGTTTGGCATACGGGAGCAGAGAGAAAAATAGTCAGTGTCAGGGGCTGGGGATATAGCTCAGTGGCATAAGCGCCTGACTGGTAAGTGCAAGGTCGTGAGTTCGATCCCCGGTACCGCAAAAAAAAAAAAAAAAAAAAGTCAGTGTCTAGTTTTGATAATTCTCTGCTAAAACTTTGGAATGATTTTCAAGTTTTTCAAATTTTCTGCAGAGCCGTTGGGATGGCTGTGGTTTTGAACCTGGGTCAGGAGCGACCCCAGCGGAATCAAAGCAGGTTCAACATGGACACAGCCCCTCGAGACAGCGTAGTTCTTGTTTACTGTGTACCCTTTTCTTGAGAAGAGCCTCTGCACATAGCCTGAGCTTCTCATCCCTTGCCCTACCTGGTGACCTCTTCTTACCGCTAGGCAGTGATCTTCGTGAAAATAGCTTTCTTGTTGGCTCAGTTCTCCTGACTCCTGGAATTTTACCAGGGAATTAGAGTGGTAGTAGGGGGAGAGTTATGAATAACATAAAAAAAAAAAAGATAACCATTACTCTGAAAGCAACCGGGAAAACCCAACTAATATTTTGTATTATTTCTCTATCATTTTCCTTTTTTGTTGGTCTAATAATTGAACAGTTGAATTAAATCAGATAGTACTTCCAACCCCCTCCATTTTCAGGTGACCTACCACCAAGTGAACATAATTTTGTATATACACTATTTGATGTTTATTGTTAGATGAAGATATATGCTATTTTCATTTAGACACTAACTTTAAAAGTTTTCTTCCGTTTTTAAAAACTTTTTAAAATGTTTTTAAAACTTTGTTCTTTTTTCTGCAATGATAATTGTGGAAGAATATATCCAAAATGAATTAATGAATGAATGAGATCTTTTTTTCTTTGTTTTTGTTTTTCTGTACTGGGGATTTAATTTAATTCTGTACTAGGGTTTTAATTTCCACTGAGCTATCATTCAATTCATTTTTGATTTTTTTTGTAATTTTGAGAGAGCGTCTTACTAAGTGGATAAGTTGGGCTGTGATCCTCCTGCCCCAGCCTCCTAGAGTGCTGGTATTACAAGTGTGTGCCAATGAATTTTATAAGTAAAAGGTGAAGGAAGTTTTAAGTGTATTGTTGTAAAATAATATTGTAAAATAATATTTATAATATTATATTGTAAAATAATAACAATACTTTAAAAGACATACACAAATAACTTGTGTCAAATATGAGTGACCAAGGCTTAGGAACATGGCAATTACATGAACTTTTATAGTTACAGAGCAGAAGAAATCGGAGCATTTGGTAGGTGGGGTACAGAAGTGTGGAAACCTCCTAGCATTGTTAGCTTTAGCATTGGTAAAGACTAGAGGTTTGCTAAGCTTAAGGTTCCATTATGAGAAGTCTTAAAGCCCTTAGAAATGGTTGGTCAGTTGCCAAAAATAAGCTAACTGGCTATTAAAGGGCTTATGATCAAGATAATTTTGGCTCAGAGTACAGCATTCTCTGTCTCGATCATGATATTGTAGCCATCCAGGGTCTAATCAGTTTGGAGGAATTTTAACAGAGATGCAGTTTCTCAGACAATTTCAGTTCACAATATTTAGGATGTGATAAAAGATTTCAAATCAGTGGAAAATGGCTCTAAGTGAGAATATGACACCTATTTTAGTCTGTATGTGGGCTGCCCATTATTTTAGTTTTCTGTCTCAGTTGCTTTTTCAAACCATGTACTTATCTCCGTCACATTTTGGTAAGCCCACAAGATGAACTGCAGCCAAAATGAGTAAAGAGAAAATGTCATTGGGGGCTTCTTTGAAAGGCCAAGGAATGAGACAGAAGGTGAGTTAAGATGGCTACCAAAAAGCTGTGTTTAAAAGAAAGTACCACAAGTGTTACTTAAATTATAGGTTCATGGCAACAGGTGATTCACATTCTCTAAACCTGCTTTATAAAATATGTATTGACCACCCATCCAACCAAGCCATGAAACCTTTAAAACTGCCACATGGTGACAAAGCACATGCCATTAAAAGAAAAGGTGGTGGGATTTTTTAGAAGAAAAAAAATTAAAGGTGAAGAACAGAAGCAAATATTAAAGGGCCACCATTTCATCAAATGTGTGTGCACTGAGATCGTGTTTGTGGTGGCTAACTGTACACTGGAACCAAGAAACTTTGCTCTTGGTGAAGAATTGATCCTGCCTGCAACTAAGGACATTTCTTGTGTGTGTTTAGGAGAGGCTGCAATTCAACAGATGGACACTCTTTTAGATGGTACCACACCTAGGCAAGTTGATGAAGTAACGGGATAAATTGATAAAATAACAGGATATTATGGCACAATTGTTAGAGGGATTAGCGAGGCACTGTGTTACATAATCCAGGTTGATGAATCTGTTAGTGTTGACAACAGGCAGCCATGCTTGGTTTTGTTTGACATTTTCAGGAGGATGTGCATGAAGATTTGTTATATGCACTTTTATTACCAAGCAGGACTTATTACAAACAGCTACAGAACTTTGATTACATTTCAGTAAAACTAAATCATTTGGTGTTGGTATATGCATGATGAAGTGGCTGCCACGACTAGACAGCTTTCTAGTTTCATTACTGGGGCCAAAGAGTTTGCTTCTGAATGTGAGTCTACACAGTGTGTCTTGCATAGACAAATGCTGCCTTGGTGAAAAATGTCATCTGAGCTGAACAATGTGCAGGATGTGGTTAAACTTATCAACTACAGTCAAGTACTTGTCCTTAATGCAGAGCACAAAACATCTCTAATACACATAAGTGAGTTGGCTTTCTAAAGGTAGATCACTGGCCAGAGTTTAGAGTTATAAGAGCCACTCCAGAGATTTCCTTTAGAAAGAAAGTCACCACTGGTAGCACATTTTAGTGACATGGAATGGATTGCAAAACTTGCTTATGAGTGGGACAAATTTGACCTGCTCAGTGATCTCAGTCTGTCACTTAAGGGCAGAGTGACAACTGGGTTCAAGTTGGCATATAAAGTGGCTACATTCAGAGCTAAATGAATTTGGAGATGATGAGTGAACATTGAGATTTTTGACACATTTCAGACATCAGAGATTTTGAAAAAGACTGATTCAGGGCCTTACTCCCATCTGGTTTGTAATCATTTGTCTTGGCTTTCAAGAGTTTAAATAGTACTTCCTAATTACAAAAGACCTCTGAATGGGGAGGAATGGCTCCATGACCCTTTTTTGAATAAATCACGTGAGCTGACTTTGTGGTAGAAGAGAATTGACTACTTGAGACCACAAATAATAGTGACCTTAAAAGTATGTATGTGACAGTTTCAAACTTCAGGTCCATATATTCTTGATTAAATTCAAAGTGGAATATTTTGAGGTTGCCACAAAAGCACAGAAAAACCTGCTTCCATTTCCAACATCCTGTCCTTGTGAAGCAAGGGTTTCTGCAGTGATAGCTACCAAAATGAAGTTCAAGAGTAGACTGGACATAAGCAACACGCTCTGGGCATCACTGTCTCCCTGAGTCTGAAATGGGGTACCTGGTTGCAGGAAAACAAGCTCAGGGCCCGCTCTGGTTCTGTATTGTATGTTGTATAATTAGTTCATTATATGTTACAATGTAACAATAGAAATAAAATGAACAATAAATGTGCTTGAATCATTGCCATGAACTGGCACGTCTCTTGGTGGTCCCAGGAAAAAATGTCGAGGGGATTTAGAGAATACGGTGAGACGAAAGCTGAGGTCTGGTGGAGTAGCCTCTTTCTGGATGGGAAAAGAGGATTGGCCAATCACTGTAGGGGCATTTATACATTTTCAAAGTAGAGACACAGGGTTGCCTCGTGACTAATGACTGGAATTGTCTTAGGCAGGATGTTTTTCTCAGGACCTAAGTATTTCCATCTTCACCTACTCCCTACAAATCATCTCTAAAGCATCCTTCCATCCATGGAAAAATGGGACAGAAACTGGTCCCTGGTGATACTGATCCCTGGAACTAAAACGACTGGGGACTGCTGATTTAGGACACTGTTAATATAAGAAATAAAAGGAAAAATAAAAATAAATAAGAAACAAATGTAAACTGTGTTAGCATGCTTAGGCTGCTATGACAAAATACCACGGAGTTCAAAGCTTAAACAAAATGGCTGCATAGGAAGTGACGACAAGGGTGTCTAATTGTCTCTGGAAATAAGCAGGTACCCTGAGGTGAGCCAGGCACTCTTGATCTGGGAGGGTAAGTGGAAAGAGAAACTTGCTGGACCAAAATCCAGTATCTAGGATGTGTATGAAGGGAAACTGAATCACTGCACCCCCAGCTCTCATCCCAGACCCAATGCATACACAGTCTTGGGAGAGGGTTGGATTGAGGGAGGCTCTTTGGTGGCAGCCTGGATGATGAAAGAGACTCCCAAACACTGTAACATCTCTACCAGCTGCAGTGAGTGAGATACTTGCAAGCCAGGGATTCAGAGAAATCTAAAGCAGGG